TATATATATATATATATATATATATATATATATATATATATATATATACATAATAAATAAACACAGTACACACATATACTATGTACTATACACATACTATGTAAACAAAAACCTTTATTTTGGATGTGATTAATCGGTGCCCAGCACTAATTATTATTATTATTATTATTATTATTATTATTATTATTATTATTATTATTATTATTATTATTATTATTATTATTATTATTATTATTATTATTATTATTATTATTATTATTATTATTATTATTATTATTATTATTATTATTATTATTATTATTATTATTATTATTATTATTATTATTATTATTATTATTATTATTATTTTCTTTCCTCATTTCTTTCTTCTTTAAATCTAGATTTTATATATGTTTTTCTTATAATTATGCCAGTGTGCTGCACTTTGTAAACAAATTAATTTTATTTTCCGTGTGCTTATCAAAACAACAGTAACGGTCCCAAATCCATCCAAGAGTGCTGTGATTGGTTTAAGATGAGTCTAGAAGAACTAAATGCGGAATGCTATAAGGAAATGCATAGTCATCATGAGAAGGTTGGTTTCTGTGTACAAGATTCACAGATGATCTGTCTGTTTAGCTTTGATGTCAATCTGATTACTTTATATCATTTCTTCCTTGAAGGCTATAAACTGCATAGTGGGAACGGTTTGTTATGAAAGACTCGCCTCCCACGGCCCTCAACTTGGACCTGTCACCCGGACAAACCCTTTGGTGACTAGGTAAAAATGATGTAGTCTCGTGGAGCAACACAGGCATCATAAAGTCTGGTCTGCTTTGCAACTTCTTCTGGCCAAGAACTGCCCAGTTAGACAGGAAGAGATCATCTGACTGACTTAAAGCAGCCAGCCACAGCTTGCTTTGTATTTACATGATGTAAAAAAGTAAAAAATCAGCTGACAGGCCATCCAAGATTTAGATAAGTGTATCAGAACAGAACAGATATGGAGAAATGTAGCATTACATCACTTGCTCACCATTGAATCCTCTGCAGTGAACGGGTACCGTCAGAATTCAAACAGCTGATAAAAACATTACAATAATCCACAAGTGATGACAATTTTAACTTCAAACCGTTGCTTCTAATGCTAAATTACGAGTCCTCTATCCATAACAGTGCTTTTTCCAGTGAAATAGACATTTAGTCTAAATCAAGAGAGAAACATGCGCAGATTAAACACTGTTTGTAAGAGAAAACGGTCCAAAACGGTTCTAAACAAATATGTTGGTGGATTATGATGGGAGACGACAACAGGGGTTGCACTTTTTTACTGGAGGAAGTGTTATTATGAATTCTGATTCAAAGTTAAAATGCCTTAATGATGGCATTTATAATCAGTTTTGAAAGTTTTTCACTTCACAAGACATTAATTGATGGACTGGAGTGGTGTGGATTACTTGTGGATTATTGTGATGTTTTTATCAGCTGTTTCAAAATCAAATTTTTCCTCAGAAGTGGTCATTGTAACCGCCTGGTATTTTGTAAACTTAGCATTTTATTGTACAGTACGCTGATGAGAATGGCAGATTTACAGTTCAGCCTTGTTTTAATGATTCAGATATTTTACCTTCCCATTTGAGGACATGACCATGGAGCAGGAAAACCAGCTGATGCAGAATCCAAATGATGCTTGTCATCTGCTCGCCCATAATGGATGGGTTATGGCAGATGACCCGCTTAGAAATTTTGCAGAGCCAGGTGAGTCAAAATATATGTCTATTTTGGTTTCTGCTGAACATTTTTGGTTTTGATGCTGGTCTAGAAATTGCAAAAAGTTACATTGTGTTTCTGGTGACTAAAAATGTCTAGCTGGTTAAGGACCTGGTAATTGATTTATCTGTCTGTTAGGCTGTAATGTTTACCTCAGAAGAGAGCTTGTTTGCTGGGGTGACAGCGTGAAACTTCGCTATGGCGACAAACCAGAGGACTGTCCATACTTATGGGCTTACATGAAGAAGTACACAGAGATCACAGCCAAACATTTCTCCGGTGTACGTCTGGATAACTGCCACTCCACACCCCTTCATGTGGCTGAGGTACGTGTTCAGATTTCTACTTTATTTTTGATCTGCATGCATATTTCATGATTTATTTATACAAATGACATCATATGCAACAGGCAGGAACTCAGAATGTTCTGCAATGTCATTGTAAATGTATAAAGTGACAATTTTCATGTTGAAAATATGTAGTGTCATTCCTTCTGAGGTTGTACTGCAGGTATTTGACATGTACTGTTGGATGTGACAACTTGTGTGTTGTGTCTATAGGCCATGTTAGCTGCAGCCAGAGTGGTCAGGCCCAATCTTTATGTGATAGCCGAACTCTTTACTGGAAGTGAACAGCTTGACAATTTGTTTGTTAATCGGCTGGGAATAACCAGTCTCGTCAGAGGTACTGCAGACTGCAAGAGACACGTTTGCCCTTGATGCTAAATTTGCTTTTTGTGTTTTTTTTCTTCCTCTCCGTTTTTTACTCAAAACATTCATACCTTTTTTGGCAACATTAACTCTTTCTCTTCATCATCTACTTTGACCTTGTGCATTTCATGTGCTCACGAATAATATGTCATTAATAACACATTTCATTACTAATAAACCTGCTTAATGTCCTAATGCAATAATGTCTGATTATGTAACCTGAGCATGTTCCAATTCTTTGTCGTACACTTCACACCATCATCTGTCTGTCTTGCTTAATTTGCTTTCATTCTATCTATCTATCAATCTATCGATCTATCTATCGTTCTGTCTTCCTATCTATCATTCTATCTATCTAACCCTGCTGCTGGGTGGGCTGCAGTATATGTTGGCTGTTGCTCGTCAACATAGGCCTGATCTGTATGTGGTGGCTGAGCTCTTCACTGGCAGCGAGGAGCTGGACAATATCTTTATGACTAGGCTTGGCATTACCTCCCTTATCCGAGGTAAGACACAAAGAGATTGGGAAATGCAGTTGCAGTGACACAAAGAAATAAGGAACATGATGTGTGAAATGCAAATACAGCATGTTGTTGACACGTTTGCCCTTGATGCTAAATTTGCTTTTTGTGTTTTTTTTCTTCCTCTCCGTTTTTTACTCAAAACATTCATACCTTTTTTGGCAACATTAACTCTTTCTCTTCATCATCTACTTTGACCTTGTGCATTTCATGTGCTCACGAATAATATGTCATTAATAACACATTTCATTACTAATAAACCTGCTTAATGTCCTAATGCAATAATGTCTGATTATGTAACCTGAGCATGTTCCAATTCTTTGTCGTACACTTCACACCATCATCTGTCTGTCTTGCTTAATTTGCTTTCATTCTATCTATCTATCAATCTATCGATCTATCTATCGTTCTGTCTTCCTATCTATCATTCTATCTATCTAACCCTGCTGCTGGGTGGGCTGCAGTATATGTTGGCTGTTGCTCGTCAACATAGGCCTGATCTGTATGTGGTGGCTGAGCTCTTCACTGGCAGCGAGGAGCTGGACAATATCTTTATGACTAGGCTTGGCATTACCTCCCTTATCCGAGGTAAGACACAAAGAGATTGGGAAATGCAGTTGCAGTGACACAAAGAAATAAGGAACATGATGTGTGAAATGCAAATACAGCATGTTGTTGATTATGACACTAAATAGTTTTGACTCGTTGCTCAAAATGAGCTAAAAACACCACAGCTGCTGTTGATAGAATTTGAGTTGTGTTTCACACAAAATATTCTTAAATTTGAGATGTTAGATAGATATGGATGGACACTTGTCGCATGGGTTGTTTATTTATTTATTTATTTATTTTTAGGATTTATTTTCGGTATATGAAGGCCACATTAAAACTGTCATTTATTTTTGCCTTTTATGTTTCAGTTGTATTGTTCTACCCTTGACCCATACAATACACATGGATCATTAAAACAAACATTTTGAAAGCTATGATAATCTCAGCAAAATATAAATAAAAAGATTTCAATATTTATTGTGTGAAAATATTTTATATCAGTTTTTATACCAATATGAGTTGTGTTGTTATTTACATCATAACCAACATTTGTCATTAATAAAGTAAAAAAAATGGTGTATTTTTATTGTGCATCATTTTGAATAAAGATATAATTTTGTAAAATTATTCTAAAAATGTTGAAAATATTATTTGAACACCAATGAGGGTGTGGTGGTAGTGTTTATATATACATATATATATATATATA